GTATTTGGGTGGTGGGGGTTGGGCCCCTGTGGTGCGGCCTAAGCATTTATTCTTACACTACTTTTGCTTTTTTTAAGTAGGTTTAAAACCAGTACTTATTTTACTTGAGTAAACAGCTTTATAAACCCTAGTGTCTACTCTTTTACTTAAGCAATGAATGTGAATGCTTTTGACACGTCTGCTCTCACCTCAGTCCGCTGTTCAGCAGAACTGTCAGCACACGCCTTGGGTGGCAGTTCTGCACCAAGGCCTGCAGGGCCAGGTTGGCCTGCTGCTGAATAAACACGTGTGCGTTTGCCTGTGAGATCCTCAGCAGCAGAGCTCGGCCTGTCATCTCCACGTGGACGTCCATTTCCTTCTGCAGGTTAGTGTAGAGGCAGCCGAGCGTATCGATGACCGCACAGGCCACTGAGGAACGCAGGTTGTTCATCTGGGGGAGGGGAGGGAATCAGCAAACCAAGTGTGCTTTTAAACACATGAACAAAAGAAGATCCGCGTAAACCAAGCAGTTACCTCCTCTGTCAAAGTAATGCACACTTCGTGAAGTTTCACCCTCAGTGTACTGGGATGGTGCTGTAAAAGGGCTTGAATTAATTTCAGCCCCTTCATTTTGTCTGACCTGTGTGATGAAACTGAATTATTATTCTGTGCTGTATTTTGGGGTTGTTCTGTAAAAACAATAATATTGAAAAAAAAATCAAAGGATTAATGGAAGAACACAGAAAAGCATTGCAAGCACAATCCTAAAACATAAAGTTTACTTTCACAGCAGGTAGGAAAGGTTTGAATGTCCTGCCTGGGGTCAGAGTCTTACCAGTCCCCTGAGCTAAGTTGATGGAAAGCCAGAGCCAGACTTTCTGCAGGGTCCGTCAGTGGTTTTAGCACCTCCTTGGGTTTTGTTGTTTGTGGAGCTGCCTCCTTGACTGACTTTTTGAAGGCCACACTTTTTCCTTCCTTCAAAYGTTCTTGGTTGGTTTGAGCAGGTTTTTTCGGAGGAGTAGGAAGAGCACGATGAGTCGGATCAGGAAGTCGGTTCTTTGGCACTGCCCAAGTCGGTCCAGTCTTTTGGAGAATCCTTTTTTCTTCTTCTGTTGACATGGAGATTGAAATATTCATCACTTGACTCTAAAACTGTCCAGCTTTAATGCACAAAATGTATGATTCTGTATAAAGGAGTCAAATCAGAAACTAAACAATAAAACTTGCAACAAAATCAGCAGATATTTATGTCACGTTACAACAAGGAATCTAAATGATTAAATTTCYGATTCAAATATGTCTCATGTTTTCATGCTTGTCTTCACATAAAAGTTCTGTTAAAATAGCAGCACTATTCGAATGCCATCGCACAGTTGTTTTGACTGAGATGTGTTGCAGGTTTTTTATTTTACTTCATAAATAACAGGATTTAAAAATTGACAGCTAGACAGAAATGTTCACAGACAACACAGTTCTTTATGTTTCAGTCTTGTGATCTGTCAGTTACAACAATATTACATTTTCCTAGTTATATAAATATAAGCAGTGGTGGATAAAGTGCTCAGTTTCTTGACTTGTCAAAGTACTGATCCTACTTGTCAAGCATTACTCCAATAAAAGTAGTTCTGTCAAATAATCACTTCAGTACTGGAGTATGTGCTTTCAAAAATATTTACATTTTAAAAGTATTTAAAATTTGGATGTTGTTTTTTTTTACTAATGTACTGAGTGTCAGGAATATTGGGAATTTATTCTGCTACATATTGGAC